TTGATGGCTGCGTAGCGGCTGGGCGTGAGCAGTGCCGGCGCCGTAGAGTGCGACGGCGCAAACGGCCTCGAAGATGGTGAAGATGGCGGTCGATGAGATACCGAGGCGTTCCTGGACGGTGAGTTTGGGGTTCTCAGCGGGGGCGCGAGACGCGGCGCGGGCGGCGAGGGAGGAGATGAAGCCGGACCAGGCGATGCCACCGATGAGGGTGCCGAAGAGGGCGTAGAGGCCTGAGGGGGACACCAACAGCGGCCTGGGGAATGACGGTGCCGGGGCAGGCGCCGGCGAGGGCCATGCCGAGACCCTGGAGGGCGCCGCCAAGAATGTTGCCGTCGTAAGGGCCGAAGAGCCCCAGCCGCGAGGCGGAGCGTGGCTTGGAGTGATAGTAGCCCAGGCGGTCGAGGAGCAGGACAGCAATACTGGTGCGTGTCAGATATGTCTATCTCTTTCTCTTTTTTGTAGTTCTTCTGGCTCGGGCGTGGGGCAGAGCCAAGCAAGGTCACCTTACCCGCTGGAGGCCGCGGCGGCGAGGAAGGCCTGGATCATATGCCAGTTCTCAAACTTGAGCTGGCTCGTGATGACGGCTGGGTGGTAGACACCGGCGGCAGCGAGGCCGGCACCAAAGGCCACCCCGGAGAGGGCTGTAGTTGCCATGGTCGGGTTGACGCGTGTCTTGAGGAGGATGGCTGGAGCGTGACTCGGCAGTGTGTCCGCGATGAACCTGCGTGCAGCTATAGGGATACAATACAAAAAAGCTGGGGGACGGATGAGGGCGGGCGGATTGCTTTATTTCCATTGCGACATAGGCGCTAGCGCTGGAGTGGGCATCGCGGCGTTTGGTTCCCGCTTCGAGGCGTCGGCTGCCTGAACCCTTGGGGGTCGAAGACATGACAAAGACGTGGAAACGAGGTTGGTTTTTGCTTCATAGAGATGGCTCTCGAGCACTCAAATGCTGTGGGGAAGGCTTTGTCGGCGACCTGATACTAGGTAGGGACAACGAGCCGGATGGTCTAGCTGCAGATCAACCCCCCGAAGCCTGTCTAGCAGATCGCCGTCGGGGACCATTGTCGGCGAGCTGACAATTCAGCAATGTCTCGGCATTTGAACTTGACGTGGGGAGACGTGGAGAGGGGGCGATGTCCCTGCTTGACCGAAAGATTCCTTGCAACACGCAATCTGTCAGCCGCCTTTCGAGTTTGAGGCGATAAGGTGCTGACGGCTTGCCTCTGGAGACGTGCCATCGGCAAGGTCCTTATAGACTTTTGTGTATTTTAACTTTGGGATGATGCAGTGAAGGCAAGGGTCAGTCTGCAACTTGTTGGCCCAACTGCACAAAACCTCTCTACCTGGTATCTAGGTGCGTGCCTACCTAGGTGCGTGCCTACCTAGGTGCGTGCCTTGAAAGGTAAGGTAGGTACTTTACGCACCTGAGGTACGCACCTGAGGTACCTACCTTAGCTACCTACCTTAGCTACCTTACCCACCTACCCACCTACCCACCTGCCTGCCTACCTACCTACCTTAGAGGACACAAGATACTCTTCCACATCGCCAATCGACACACCACAACAACAGGAACACAGCACAACGGCTGATCGGACGTGCAACGGCCCGGCCGGTCCGTTAAGGAGGGCCTCCGGCTCCCGGTGGGACATGAAGCACCCCCTGGCCCCCGCATGCGTGTTGCCGAGGTTCTTCCCCACACATCCGCGGGGTGAGGTGTCTACTGTCGGCCATCACTCACATGTTGCGCCTCCAGACTTGTATCATCAACATCGATCGACGTATGATTGCAGCCTTTGTGGTCCTCATCTCAGAAACAGAATTGCCCACCTCACATTACTTTTGCCGTTTCAAAATAATCGTCTTAGATCATTGGCTCCGAGACGCTCCTGCGCAAGCACTGTGATATCTACCTGAAGGCCCCTGACATCGCCACTCTCAACATCATGCCGCACTCACTTACTGTCAAGAAAATAGACGGCAAGCCTGGGAAGGTCTATTATCCGTAAGATTTCATTCTCTCCCACGAGTCTTGGTAGCTCATCTGACCGGCTGCTCCATTAGCCTTCAAGTCAACCAGATTGCCAAACCGACACCTGGCCCCAACGAGCTCCTCGTTAAGCTCTCTGCCGCCGCCCTCAACCACCGTGATCTCTTCATCCGCCGTCATCTCTACCCCGGTATCTCCTTTGAGCATCCCCTCCTCGCCGATGGGTACGGTACCGTCGTCGCTGCTGGGCCCGGCGCCCCTACCACTCTCCTGCACAAGCCTGTCATACTGACCCCCTGTCGTGGCTGGGCTGCCAATCCCGACGGACCAGAAGACCCTTCTCGCTTCGCTGTCAATGGTGGCTCAGTTGTGACTCCGGCCGGCATGGCGCAGGACTACATCGTCGTCGCCGCCGACGAGGTCGAGCCTGCTCCATCACACCTCTCGCCGGCCGAGGGTGCCGCGCTGCCCGTCGTCGGCCTAACCGCCTGGCGCGCCTTCGTGACAAAGTCTGGCAACGCCCTCCCCGGCCGCAACATCCTCGTCACCGGCATCGGCGGCGGCGTGGCCCTGTCGGTACTGCAGTTCGCCGTCGCGCACGGGTGCAACGTCTACGTCACGTCGGGCGACAATACCAAGATTGAGCGGGCAAAGAAGCTGGGCGCCGCCGGCGGCGTCAACTACAAGACGGACGGCCGCTGGGAAAAGACTCTCGCCACACAACTCCCCGCCGACCGCCCCTATCTGGATGCTGTCATCGACGGTGCCGGCGGAGACATCGTCGCCCGGTCCGTGCGGCTGTTAAAGGCCGGCGGCGTCATCAGCCAGTACGGCATGACGGTTGCCCCCAAGATGGAGTGGAATATGCAGGCCGTCCTGAAGAACATTGACCTCAAGGGGTCGACGATGGGCTCGCGCCTGGAGTTCAGGGACATGATTGCATTTGTGGGCGAGAAGAAGGTGACCCCAGTCGTGAGCCGCGTCGTCAAGGGGCTGACCAACATCGAGGGCATCGAGAGCCTGTTCAAAGACATGGACGAGGGAAAGCAGTTTGGAAAGCTGGTCATTGATTTTGACGACGAACCCTCTGCCAAGCTGTAGCCGGTAGTTACCGTACATTTCGAGTTGAGAAGAAAGACCTTAATCATTGTTCATATACACCGAACTCCTTGTGCCCAGCTGTCCCCGAGTCCTTTTGTTCTCAAACTGTCCGCCTACACACAACCCCTCTCCTCCTCGGGGCTCCGTGACGCGTGGCTCCTCCGGGCCTCTCCTACGTCTTCACCTCCCATCATATCGAGGTCGCTAGCCCACCACTCAAGGTAAGTCCCATGATCAGGGTATCTCCAACCGTTTCATCTGTTCGCGCGTTTCCTGTTCGCCTCCCCACGCTGGCCCCCACCTTACGCCTCGGTCTTCTTGCGCTTCTTCTTCTTCTCCCCCTCTTCGGGCGCCACGTACTCGCGCTCCCGCTTCTGCAGCTTCTCCTCCTTCTTCTGCTTCTGTGACTCGACGCGCTCCTGCGCCACCGCCCGCGCCTTGGCCTCCTTGCCGAGGAAGTACTCGCCGCTCTCAATCTGCTTGTCGACCTTGCTCTTCTCCGGCGCCGGCGGGAAGGGCGTGTACACCTTCTTGCTCTTGTCCGACACCTTGTGCGGCACGCGGCGGTGGCTGAGCGTCTTCTTGCCAAAGTCGGGCAGGAACCTGTCCCAGCTCTCGTTGGCGAGTTCCGGGTCCTTCGCGAGCTCACGCTTGATCATGAGCTGTGGGCGGCGTCAGCACGTGCACGCTTTCACTTGATCTCTGCATTTAGGGCGAGGACAAGGAACAACCATAAACATACCTGCTTAATGGCGTAGATGGGGTGGATGTTGTCCATGGTCTGGATGGCGATGCGCCGTACCTCCTTGAGGCCCTTGTACGGCCCCATGGCCGACACGGTGTTGCCGTGCACGAGGATGTACGTCTCGGTGAGCAGCTCCAGCGCCTTCAGCGTCGAGCCGTTGGGTCCGAGAAGCCTCTGCCGGCGCTTGACGAACCTGTCCTTGTTGCCGACCAGGTTTCGGATCTTGATGATGTCGCATGCTACTCCGTCCTCGAGAATCTTGACGGCCTGCGGCGCAGGAACGCTTCGGGCGAGGAGCTTGATGAGATCGCGGGCGTTGAGCACGGCAGCGGGGTCATATGTCTTTCGCGCTGGCAAAAGGGACACGTCAGCGAGGGGACTTTACACACGGGAAGGTGTAGCTGCCAGGTCTCGCGGGGTCTGGAGATTTCGTTTGTACGTACTGGTCTTCACAGTCATGGAGCCCTCAATCAAGTCGAGACTGCAGGCGATGCCATACTTCTCTAGGGACTTGGTGACGAGTGGCCATGCTTCCTTCAGGTATACTTCGCGGTATTTGGGGAAGAGGACGGAGAAGCTGGACTCTTCGACGAAGGAGCCGCCGACATTGTCTGTGGGTTTGAAGGTCTCGACCTTCCACTTGTCGATGTCTTCTGTGTCCCACGGCTTGTCCTTTTCGTGTGACGGCATTTTAGTAGTCGTAGAAGGAATCGATGCGCGTTCCTTGGCTTGTGGCACTGACGTGATCCGCCTGTCGTGATTCGTACGGCGGTTTTCGTAGAAGGCGGATACGCAGCAGAAGTTCTGGGTTGGATGTAGCAGAAGTCCCAGCAAGCGACGCGGGCCAACTTTTTTTCTCGGTGAGAAGCACAAGCAGGCACACCGAGCGTGGGGCATCCGGAGGCTGAATATTTGTTATCTTATCGTCAGGATGGGCATGCTGAAAGCCCATAAGCCAATGATCAGCCGTCTATTGGCTTGCACGCTTTGCGCGTCTGGTGTTCATGCTGAGGTACTCCTTTCTTACCCAAACCTCCCCTCCGAGTCCCACAGTGTCGTAGTTGCCCAAGTCGCGAAAGGGAACCGGGACCTAGACCCAAACTCATCATCGGTCGGTCGCGTCGCTACAAGTTCAGCCAAACTCTTCACTCCCATATCCAACCTTGACGCGACCTTTTCAGCAACGCCATCGCGCCCAACAACATCGCGAAACCTCGCTCATTCCCAGGCTCTCGTCTTCTCACATGTTTCTTTCCTGTCTGTAGGACGCGACGCTCTCTGCCGGCCGCCACGTCGAGTACCATCAACGTTTCTCCTTATCGTGTCGCAATCACTGCAATCAGATTGAACGCCTCTCCCGATAAAGCTCATCCAGCTCCACGGCCCGTCCCCCATCGCGTCTCCGTCTCCCATCATGGACGACGAGATCAGCATGTACCCGCCTCTCGGCGGCCCGGAGCCTGAGCCCTTGTCGCGCCCAGATTCGACCTCTTCACTGGCCTCCCTCGCCCATCTGTCGAGTATTTCCGCCCTCGCCACCGCCGACGGTGTTGCAGCGCTGGATGGTTCACCCCAAGCCAGGTATGTGTGTCTGTCGCATTGAGATGGCAGCTTTTTTCTTCTTTATTATTGCATGCCTGCCACCAACCTTTGTACTTTGACGCTCACTCCCTTCCCCTTCTTGAGGCTGATCATCCACCTCAGCGCTGAGCACCTCACTCAACCGCCACACAACATGCAGCAACATGAGCAACACGAGCAGCAACCGCAACCACAACAGCAACCGCCTCAACAGCAAGTGCAACATCAGCAGGATCAACAGCAAGCCCAACAACAACAACAGCAGCAGCAGCAGCAGCAGCAACATCAACAGCAACAGCAACAGCCGCTGCCACATCAGCAATTGGATCGGGGCTTCTCTCACGCTGCCCCTGCTTCACATCCCATTCAGTCCCCTGCTGTTCGAGCCAAGAATGATGCCGGCCTGGTGAGCTCGCCTCTTCTCCTTCTTGTACTCCCAATATCACATTGGCATTCGTACTGGACGATTTCCCCCCTCCTTTGCTTCTTTCCTCCTTTCCTCCTTTCCTCCTTTCCTCCTGACACAAATGCACCCCCAACTTTCCCTAACCCAAAGGATGACCTAATCCCTTCTGTTGTACTCATTGCGTGTACGTACCATGCTTGGTCCACCCTTATCAGGCACTAGTGCTCCTTTTGGGAAGGCGCCTCGAAGTCGAGGACACCCCACACTAATCTATCGCCTGGCCCCATCCCAAATCATGATTCTGAAGATAAGATTTTCTCTCCTTATCTGGTTGCGCTCCCGGCCCAAGATCACGACCATCAGTACCGACTGTGTCCACTGTCGCGAACGCTCTTGTCCTCCTCACATCATTTGAATCGCCGAAATGATGGCAACACCTGCTAACCACGACCGTGAGTCGACAAAGCCTGTATGCTTCAACTGCGAAACCTCCACCACACCCTTGTGGCGTCGCGACGATGAGGGCAAGGTTCTGTGCAACGCCTGCGGTCTCTTCCTGAAGCTGCATGGACGCGCGCGGCCCATTTCCCTGAAGACCGATGTCATCAAGAGTCGCAACCGAGTCAAGACAATGCGCCCTGATCTTGCGACAAAAAAGAAGGGATGTACAGTGCTCAGACCCCATCTAGCCAAGGCCCCTCCCTTTGACCCGCTAACATCACAGCTGACATCATTCGCGTAGCGGCAGCAACAAGCCCAGCAGCAGGGGCAACATCATGCCTACTTGGGGGGGAATCACAAGGGTTTGGACAGGATTTCACAGACGGGGGGCATAACCTGGCGGGGCCCCGGCCGGAGGCACAGGACGGGGGAGGGCCCTTCCCCCGGTTCGGGCGGCGATACGCCGCTGTACAACCCGGCCCGCCATGCCCCGTATTCCATGGCTTCGACGAGGCGCAGCTGCAGTCGACCGCGCTCTCTGCCTTCAACATGTCCGGCACGCCGCCCAATCGCACTGGATCGCCCCTTAATGGAGACCGCCCTATCGATGCCCCTCAGACGCACGAGCAATTGATTGCTGCCAATTCAGCGCTCAGCCCCAGAGTACGCGAGCTAGAGCTCATCAACGAGCTTTTCCGCGGACGACTGGGTCAGCTTGAACAGGACGAGGCGACTGCTAGACGTGGTCAGGAAATCAGCGGTCAGGCAGAGACACAGCTGCGTGGCCAGCTGGAAGAAAGTCATCGCCGAGAAAACAGTCTCAAACACCGTCTAGACGTGCTGGAACAGGAGCTTGCCAACATCAAGACCGGCATCGTTGACGCCAGCCCTGACGACGAACTCGTCCACAAGAAGCCACGCCTCTCGGAGCCTGTGGAGCAGGCCGACGAGCCAGAAGCCAGATTTGATATCCCCGACGATGAGCCAGTCATGCAAACTGATTCCGCCGATGTGGACGACTCTGCCGCTGCTGACGTTGCTGCTGCCGCCGATTTGGCCGACGCCGAAGAGGCTGCAGCAGCCGCAGCCGCGGCCGCTGCCGTAGCCGTTGTCGCCAAGTCCGAGCCTGTTGCAGAGGCGGCACCGGCTGAACCTGTCGTTGACGAGCCCGCAACCGCTACTGCATAATATCGTTCCTGGGGACGGCCGACCAGGCGTGCTTTGAGATCATCTCGAGCGCTACTATGCCCAGCTGCTGCCAAATAACGGAAGAAGCTGCGTATCGGCAGTATTACGAATGACCTGTAACATCACCGTGGTTCCGTCGCCAAATGGTCGTCGGCATCATCTTTGCTTTTCCATTTTTAATTTCACGAAGGGAAGGAGATTGGGTGTTCTGAAGATGGCGTTGCGGTCTCCATGGGCGTGTAGGAGGCGCGTAATGTAAGGAAGCTGGGCACATTCCCCGCCATGGTGGTTTGAGTTTATTACTCGAAAAGCAGACAGCACATGCGTTTGGAGAAAGATTCACGGAAGCCAACTGAAGCTACGATCTGGCATGACAAAAGGGGCGGACCGAAAGCAGGATCACGGAGCTTTTTCTTTTCTTTTCTTTTTTTATTTCCCTGCCGGAGTAGGTGGGAAAACGCGAGACCATACCCCCATGCCCCTGTCAGCGAGGGATACCTAAAAGTTGATTATTCTTCGTAACATGCGCGCGAAAAGCACGCCTTCCCGATGCACATGTTTATTGGACGATGTGAGTAGGTGATGCCGACGGGCTGTGGTCTCCATGGGGCTGGACTCTTTTCAGTCTACATTCTGGTCCTCGGCAACCGGCGGCATTGCCACCGTTGAGTGCCGTACTTTGGGTGGTGCAGCGAGTAAGCAGTAGAGATAGAGTCGCATGCTTTCGCCGAATCCAGCGGGTCGCATCCAAGTGAACTGATAAGGGAACCCGCATTTTAGCTCTTCACGGTACCAAACCGGGCTGTTGCAAGCAATCGCTGAGAACGGCGGGCGCCGCCGCCGCCGCCGCCGGATGCTGTCCGTAGAGAAGCGTACTGCACCAAGTCACTGTGGGAGAGGGGGCGACACAACAACAAACAAATCCTGGTTGGCAATGAATGGTGTGGCGTCTTGATTTTCCCCAGTTTGAACGTCAGAGAGGGACGAGTCGCATTCACATGTCGATCGGACGAGGGTGCCCAAAGAATCCAAACCTGGGGACCCCGGCGCGCGACCTTTACAAGTACTCTAGTACAGGGGTGGTGGTAACAACCCGATGCTCGCTCCCGTATCGTGCCAGGCGAAGCTCAAGGTCCCGACCCCCTCCAAAAACCCTTTTTCACAGGTGAGATCAGGTAAACAGTATCCGAATCTCCAATGGCCGCCGACCAACTAGCTTCGCCAATCCGCGGCTTGAAGGATGTGAGGGAGGGATTTGTCGGAATGCAGGGTAGCGCCACCCCATCCATCCATCCGATCGCGAATCGGGGACAAGCCGTGGTCTATTGTCCTTAGTGTCCCATGGATTGAGGGACTCAGCGCCGACAAGCCTCGAAGGGATATAGACCACCGCATTCCAACACGGTCGAACGCAGGCATCGCGGGTGAGACATGAAAACTCGCCCACACCCATCGACGCGCACGACATCCCCAAAAGCTTGGCTGGGCCCCCCCCCCGCGCGATCGACGTGCTGTGCCCCCAGGCTGGGACGAAACTTATCAACAAGCCTGCCGAATTCGTTGGGGAAGGCCACTCGCCGAAAGGGACCAAGGAAGTTTTCGTATTGGACTTTCTTCACCTGTCGTTCCCTGTAGCACGGGCAAATCTGATGAGTTGGAGTGTTCTTCATTCGTTCTTATTACCACGCTCATCTGAGAGATCCTGTTCATCATGTCGCCACACGCAAGTCGGGAATACATCCCCCTCATCTCTTCACCCTTGAACCCGAAGCAACCATATACAGTGCCGGCGCATGCGCCGTCAACACCAGGAAAGCGACGCTCGAGCCAGATGCGCGGCGATCTCAGCCCTACGGAGCGCTTACTGCGGTCAAAGGCTGCATTGGCGTGGAAGTCGACCCAGGACGGTGCTGGGTCCCGCAGAGAGAAATCGCGGCCGCGGGTCGAATACGGGCGCGGAGGAACAGTAGTCAAAGCGCCGTTACGAAAATACCCGGCGCACTGGGACGAAGACAACGACGACGTGGACGCGTTTTACAGCGACGCTGGCGAATACGACTATGACGACGACGGCGGTGAGACCAAGGCGTGGGCGGGCGGCCTAACGGTGATGCGGTCGCGGCTCCTACGCGACACGGCACGAAGGGCGTTGCTCATGTTCGGCCTCACATGCCTCGGCGGTTGCCTCCCGATTTTTGCGCTTCTGTCATCGGCAAGTTCACCAGGCGGGGTGTGGTCTCTTGGAAAGTCGAGCACTCAGGCGGCGAGCGCATAGCCGTGCACGAGGGTCTGTGACGGAAGGAAATGCCACATAGTGGCACGGCGGACGACGCGGCGCAATCGTGTATGTGAAAGGGGGAGAGGAGAGTGGATTCGACCTCGGAATCTCCAACGCATGCTTCGCCATCATCCTTCTATATCGTCTCTGTACACTTGTGTACTCACACCATCTATCGAAACACTCGACGCAAGCAGCGGTCACTGCATGCTGTCGAAAAGCAGCGCACCTGCCTTTGCTTACTTCTTCTTCTCTTTTTTCGTCTGGGTTGCTTTGGAGTTTTCGTGCTGGGTTGGCGTCTGGTCTGGGGCGTTTTGTTTTTGCGCCTCTTGTTCTGCCTCTTTGGCTCGTTCGATCTGCCAGATGGCCCTCTCCATCTCAACCTCGAGCTCGGGGAGATCTAGAACATCAACTATCTTCTTGCCGTCCTTTTGCGAGAGGATGACCTTCTCGTCGGCCACCTCGTTGGGTTCGCCGACTTGGTTGCCGCTGGCTGGTTTAGATGGCTTGATTGGCGCAGCTGGGAGCAATGGGGTGTATACTTGATCCAGCTTTTTGGACGGTGACAGATCTAGGAGTTTGTTCTTGACGAGGAATCTGAGATGATTGCTGCCGGCGAGGGCGCGCCAGTGTGACCAGGCGCGATACACCAGATAGAAGAAGGGCAGGTTGGGAATTCTGTTGAGCGGGCGCATGGTCAGCGACACAACTTATCCATGAATGAATTGAACATTGGGCAAACGAGTAGCACGTACACCGGTACCAGTGCAAAAGGCGCGCTGATGGGCATGCCAATGATACACCAGATCAGTCGTTTCCTGTGCAGGCTGTCGCGCTCTGTAGCAAGCGAGGATAGAATGCTCTCGACCCTGTCCTTGGGAATGACAGACTGCGGATAGATCAGCTCAATATTCTTCTTCCCATCCAGCTCCTTGTCCTTCTTCCGGGTAGTCAGGGAAGGCACTGATTTCAAGCCCCATTCTTCGTAAGGTATCCTCTTGAGGGCCATATTCCCGTAGTCGACGACCTTTCGCTGCCAGCCCGAGTCCTTTTTCTCCCAGCCTGCCCATAGCTTGGCGGCGCGCACTGTCAATTTGTCGACGAGATTCGGCTTGTCGGTCGTCGTGACATGGAGTCGCTGGCAGTAGAGCAGAGTGCGACTCTTGGTGATGGGTAGGAGGAAGAGGCGCATCGCGAGGAGGGGGCCGACATCCAGCCACGAGGCGAGACGGGACAATGCGGCACAAAGGCGCGGACGATTCGCAAAGAGGGAGCGGAGGATGTGTGAAGAGACGTCTTAGGTTGGGCAGAACTGCACTGGTGAAACGGAGGAGAGGGTGTCGAGTTGGTTTTGTTCTTGGCCAGGTGAAGTTCAAGATCCAAATTGTCGGGAACTGGGCCAAGAATGGTCAGGCAAACGGAGCTAAGCTTTCGAGCTTTTGCATCCCGACCAAGCGGTGACGCACATGGGCCGACGGGAGGCGAATGTGACTGGCCCAGGGAGGATGCCAATCGTTTAGTGCGGGACTTGGAGGCCCCCCGGCCCAGGTGCATATCACAGGGCAGATCATAGATTTGTCCCATCTGGGATAAAGCTCCTGGAAAATTCCAGGCCCCCAGGCGACGTCGAAGGCGAATTGAGGCGCAGGCCTGTTGGGAGGCCGCTGGGGAGGCGACACTGACGACGCCGACCAGGTATCTCTGCGCATAGACCTCAGCAGACAACAGAGGATGCTATCCAGGGTTGAGCCGGAAAACCATCTACCTAGGTACCTAGGTACCGTACCTACCTAAGGTAAGGTAGGTAAGGTAGGCAAGTCGGCTGCGGCTATTAGGAGGGCTCCGGATCACCGTACTCACCTACCTACCTACCTACCGCGGGCGTTGTGCTGGCATGCACCGTTAGAGTCCTTCGCATTTGGCTTCCCGCACCTTTAATCGTTAGTCCCCGCCATGGTGGAGGCGTTGACGGAATAGAGACCAGGCTGTTGGGGGGGGGGAATGCGACAGCGGGATGTTACAGGCGACGCCCCCCCCCCTTGTCACCTCCCTTCAAGTGCCCTTCGGACGGTATTGCCACTGGCTGTGGCCCCGTCCCATCGCATGACAGTGGAGGCCTGTCTGCACCTCAGCGCCTGTTCCTACCACACCCGCAGCTCCCGACCACCTTAGCGACGCGACCCGTTCCTGACCCGTGGGACTCTAGCTTCGTCAACTGGCGCTGTAGTCGGGCGCCATTCTCTCCTTTGATCCCTCATTTTCATACCTGCATCTCTGGATAACCTCGTTGATCGCCGACCGGCAGATCTTGCAACAGCGCTTTATTCTCTTCTTCGTATTTTCTTTTCTTCTCCTTCTTGTTTGCGCTGACAACCCTGGTCCAGCCTTGACGTTCCGTTTTGTCCTGCCGCCCAACCCGACCGACACTCCTCTCCTTCTATTGCGTCACTTGGCCATTTCGACCTTCCAAATGCACAGCCCAGAATATGCTGCGTAGTTCCCGGTCACCGTTGCTTGATATTCCACAGTCTTGACAAAAAACAACACTAGCCGCGTGGCGATGGACTCATCGTCAACAATTGAGCTGCTGGCCCTTCTAGCTCACCCGACTTTCGCGCTGGT